TCATGACGTTCAGCATGACTAAAATCGGTACAACAGACAACAACATTGTGAGTATTAAGTATTAAAAGTACTTAAAATTAATAAAATTAGAATAATGTTAAATATATAAATCAGTAGTTTCAGCTAATTTTTAAACCAGGCGTATATTTATAAAAGTTAATCAAACTTTAAATGTTGACTAGATACAGTATTATTAATAGTTGTACTAAATTGTTTTAAAGTAGACCCAGATTTTGTAAGAAATGGTTTTATATGAGTTTGATGACTGTATTATACAATATTCATATTCGGTAAAATAAATACTAATTTCCAGTATAATGCCCGCCAATACAAAGTATATAAAGGATTATAATTGAAAGTTTTGCTTCAATAGCTGATTTACTGGTAGTCGCGAACATTATTTATGAACTGAAGGTAAGTAATGTCGTCGATTGTCATAGCAAATATAACTTTACTCAACAATCCCACCAAATTATATGATATTAGAAAATGCCCACCCTCCCTTGAAATTCAAATCTACTCATTGACACAAGGGCACTCGTAGCAATGTGGCGTAGTTGTTAACTTGTCGAGATTATACGCCGCGCTGTCATGGTTCGACTTCCGCAGGAGGATTTGCTAAGACCTAGGCGAGGTAGAAATTGCAGTCCACCCTAAATGAGAACATTTTTTGGGAAAGCAAGGCCATGTAAGATGTAATGGCTTTATTCAAATCATTGTAAAAATATTCAATTACCAATTATTTATCAAATTAAACGAAATAAGATGAATACATGTCATACGGACCTTCAGTTAGAAAAAAGTATTTTATACCACCAGGCTATTAACTGGTTTGGGACAAGACTCGACCGATTCCTGTTTATAATGCTCTTCGATCATTATGACGTCTCACGTGACTGATAAGTTTATTCAATAAGAATAATCATTTCGGATAGTAAAAGTCGTAAACTCGCCGAGGATTTATAGGCTATCTTGTAATTATATAATGTGCTAAATCCCAAGACGTGTTTGACCTCAGACCTGGATGTAACAGCACATACAAAAAAGCTTCTTTCTGCTTCTAAAGGTGCGTTTTTTAAGTATAAAATGGTTCAAAAAGAATATGAAGAACCAAAAAATTATGGGTCGATGACCTGTTTAATGATGGTGAAGTTGAAGACTTACCTTTTGCACGAGATAAGGGGGTTTACCATAAGACTTTATCTCAGTGATGTCCTTCTTGTTGAGGGCTTCAAGGGCTTGCATTGCAGCCTCAAGAGCAGGCATTGCCTGAGCAAGGTCAGCTTGAGCTAGCTCGGCCATATGCAAACATTTGACTTCGTCCACTTTAATCTTCTCTTGCGTTTGCATCACAGACTGGAGGTGCAATTGGTGCAATGGAGGCGGAAATGAGCAGAATACAAAGCATGAACAATGCCATGGAGACATTCATATACATACAAAACAAACAACACCATACATAAACATAAGAAGGTGTGGTCACGAAAATAAAAAACTATATTAATTTACGGATGGGTAGGAAATAGGAAAACAAAAAGAAATACAGATAAACATAGGATCATACTAAGAGATAAGTAGACAAATGACGGATAAATAAATCGTCAGATATAAGACTGTGCGTATAAAATTGTAAATGGTCAATTTAAAATTAAGAATACAAGAAATATTCAGAGGTGGGTTGACCTCGTTGTCGTAACTTGGTCTTGTTGTCAGGGCGGCTTAGTAGAAAGTATCTAGTCCGAAGTCGCCTTCCATAGTAGGTGTAATGAGTCCCAGCACCAGACAGTGGATTTGGTACATTCTCATGACAACTACTATCGCAGACGACTTCGGAATAGGTGTGTTCTACTAAGTCACCCTGACAACAAGAACAAGTTGCGACAACGAGGTCAACCCACTTCAATAAAACGAAAGGAGGCTGCGACCATACCAGAGGCCACAAGATCCAGGTCTTTATATCTGCAAGAAATATTTAGTTGATGAACAGCCT